ATACTTATCAAGCGATCTTCCTCCTTAGGCGCAATTCGGAAAACGCCTCCTTTGGACGGTAAACCTCTGATAGCCTGCCCATTTCTGTCTGTAATCGGTTGTTATTGTTCCTTAGTGAATTAATTACATTAATGGATACTGCGTAAACTCAGAGCATTTAATGAGTGCCACCTCCTGGAACATTTATCGTAATGAGCAGCAGACGACTTAAGCGAATAAAATGATATGAGATGCATCTAACATCGAAGGTGCCGTTCCATGCTCAAATGACCCTCCCCCAAGACAACTTGGAACAGGAGGCGAAAGAATAGATAATAAATAATAACAGCAATAAATCCCGGTATTAGACTTGCTAGCAAACTGCTAGTTTTCATTGACGCCGTTAACAACAAAGTTATTTCCTCCGATTCGCGCAGGGTATCGCACTGACGGTTTTTTTTGGACATAAGCTAACGGATAGAAGCATATTCGTTGGTGTTCGAACATGCGTCTGTTAGACCCAAAATGGTGCTGTTTTGCTCCCATGCACTGCAGGTGCTAAAAAGCTATATAGCCGTAGCCTGCTTAAGCCAGAAGCAAGGGCACGAGGCGTTGCACCTTGTGAATCAGGCGAAAACTATAGTTCCTTTTGTGAAGATATTGCGTGTGGAGTCCTTTTAGCTGACACCACATCCATCGGAGCATTCGTATCTTGGTTACAGACAGACGAGTGACTAACAAGTTTAAGAAGTTAATGCGTTATCATTTTCATCGAGGAACGATATTCAAGCTCTGGATGGGCAATGGTTCTGGCACTAGCACGAAGCTGCGGATACGCAAAACTTGCATTCTGATCATTTTGCCCTGTGGCCTAGTGGCGACGGCACTTAACAAGGCTGAAGATGGAAATAGGAAGCGACGAAAATGAGGATCATATAATCAGCAATGGGATCCAGCGTCAAATATAGTTGCAGAGAATGGAATATCCAGCTTAAGTGACCGATTTACCGCAAACAAGGCTTTAAGATATTTGGGCGATTACCTACGAATGAGCAATAGCTCCATTCTGAAGCGCGAGGTTTGATAGCAGTCTGCCGCTAGGAAAACCTCCATCCACAAGATATGCTGATATCTCGTTGAACTGGCATGAAGTAGAAAAGCCTGAAGAATTAGGACGCATTTATTCGATCCAGGTGGCATGTACCGCAGTCGGCATAGGATTCAATTCAATGGGATAAAAATAATAAGGAGTTTCCATTCTCTCCCCGCTTAGCGTTACGTCATGAGCATAGAGTACGAAGTATGGCGATGGTTTCTACAGATCTTTAGTTATTGTGTCTGTCACCATCAAGAACAGAAATGGAATCAATGCCGAAACTTGATAGACTGCTACCCGTACAGGAATTCTTCTGTTTTGCTGCATATATATCGAAATGTCGTTGTCACTCAATCGTAGATGTCTTTTGCAAGCCTGACATATTTTTCTAACACCAATTGCTTTCTCATGTTCCACCAAATCCGTCCAAACCGCTAATCCTGTCCGCTTCGGTTGATCATAAAGCAAAGATGGCATCCCTGGTTGACCGATAGGCATAAAGTCCAATTGGTTCTTGTCAGTATCGACTTCTTTCTTCAGCCTCTTGTTCAGAGCCTCTTCATATACCTTCATATTATGGTTGAGCAATTTATATAAGAATAACTGTGTTTAACATCTGAATATGAAATGGATTGATGAACGGAATACAATTTATTAAAACCAGTGAAACTGTGTAAAACTGATAACTCAAGCTGACACTTATGTGCGAATGAACAGCTATAAAATTTTGCATCACTCACAACGAGTCTAAAATATTTTAGTCTGAAGACGCAAGGATTTACAGAGCTGGACAGATTGTTCGTACAGTAATGCTTACCAGCTTTCCAAGCATGATCCACGACCGAAAGGTGAACGGAAAGTTATACAAAGATTGCATGGTTGGCACGGCTATGGTCGACTGGCTGTTGAACAACTGCAAAGCAACTGTTCAGACCAGGACTCAGGCAATCGGAATATGGCAGGTTTTACTGGAAGAGGGATTAATAACTCATGGTAAGACGATCCGTAACGGTAATCGTACGATGATCAATGTTTTTTTCTGCGTTTCAGTGACAAACGAGTATTCGTTTCTCGACAAGTACTTACTGTACCGCTGGAATGAAGGCAGCAGCCCTTCAAAGGATGACGGTTTAACCGGAATCGAAGGAGACCTTACAACCGAACAAGAGATCAATGATGCCGTTGTATATCTATCTCTCGTAGGACCTGATGCCGTATTCAGAATGATCCTCAGCAAAGCGTAAGTTTCGCCAGACGAATGGCTAGAGAACGTCAGAAATAGAGGGCAGTGGTACGGCGTTTTAATGGTAGCTATGATAAATGTAAAGGAATATTCTGCTACTTTGTATAATAAACATATTTGGAATGATTGTACTTCATTAGACAGCAAATATTGCTGCGGTGTAAGCTTACAATGCAAGACGTGGGTTGGCTGTTTTGGTTGAAAGCTGAAGTTTAGGCCGTCGGACAGAACATCGGAAGAAATCGACATCGTTTTCGAAGAGCTGCTCAGCATTAAGGCATTTTCCCACCTGAGCACTATGGTGAAACGCGAGCTGGCTGCCGTGATGATGTTCGAGCACCACCAGAATGCGGGCACCGTTCTGTTTCGGCAAGGAGAAGTCGGAAAGTCGTGGTTCATCATTCTGAAAGGGTCTGTCAACGTGGTCATCTACGGAAAGGTGAGACGGCGTGCGCGAGAATATGTTTTCTGTGAGTACCACTGCAGTATTTTATGAAACCCTGTTTATTCTAGGGAACCGTGTGCACGCTGCGGGAGGGTGATGACTTCGGTAAATTAGCACTGGTGAATGACGCACCTCGAGCGGCGACGATCATCCTCAACGAAGACAACTGCCAGTTCCTCCGTGTGGACAAGAACGATTTCGATCGGTATGGCTTTGCAAACCAACTCGTCTCATCAACACTGATTACACTTTACTTACAGTATCCTTCGCGATGTCGAAGCAAATACCGTAAGACTCAAGGAACATGGCTACGACGTTCTCGTGCTCGAAAAGTTTCCAGTCATGTGTACCTCATTTGAAAACTCCAAAGTCATGCCACAGCATCGGTATGAAAAACTTTTGAAAACGAAATGAGTACCACTTAGCGTACAACGGGGAGTGGGGCGGCTTTAGTCATTGACTACAGGGCTCCGAAGTCACAAATTTTGGCGTTTCACCTTTCAACAGTTTCATTGTATGACCATCATCTCAGTCTGTTTCTTACAGAGTGATCATAAGGTGGCAGTTCCGTGGTAGTTAATTGCCTCAAAAAGAAAAAGTTTATAATAATATTGATTATCATTATTTACCTGTCAGCCAAGTGGTTCTGCTGCGGTGACGAACATTTCCTTCAGCCACTCAATGACTATTTGCTATTAGATGACAGCGCGCCGCTCTCTGAAAATGACTTTACTGATTGACACAACGTACATGCAAAGGTATCACTCTGTATCCTAAATGCTAATCGGACTCTTTTTTATATTATTCATATACCAGGGCAAACCGTTTCTAACCCATTTAACACGCGACACATTATGGTCGAGCAGTGTTATGCACCAAATGGAAGTTATAAGCTGGGAATTACCATAGCATTACCATAATGCAAAACTGATAACGGGGTCCTGTCATAGTCGATCCGTGCAATTCCGTTGAATAGAGTACAGGCTGTCATGGCTGACTGGCGCTGTCCATCAAACACAGGTGATTCGTTGGGAACAGTGAGGACTGAAAGACGACATCTTTCAACCACATGTATCTAGTTTGGAACTGTCATGATCAAGCAATGTCATCGATGGTCGCCAGTGAGAACATGGCTTCCAGCTGGGCGTGCATTAATTCCAGCGTTAGTGTAAAATAAATTTTTACTAATACCTGTTTTCGGGTTTAGCATTTACTTTCAATAACAAAAGTCAAATCATTAATCAAAGAATGAGAAAATCGAGAGAAGATACGGAGGTCTCATCTCCATTACTTACAAGAGTAAACTTTTAGTCTAAAACTCAAGGAAAGCATAAGCAACTTCAAGATTGACAAACGTCTTAGACATTGCGATGCAATATCACCGGCGTCATTCATTGTCTCCCTGGAAGACACTCCGTTGATAAAAGCAGGTGGGGAAGAAGTGGCCACTACTTAGATCACCTGATGTTTGTGGACCATTTTATTATCCTCTCAAAGGCTGCGGAAGAATTGCAGAAAAGAATTGCGAAGCTGAATGACACCAGCATCGAAGTAGAACTGAAAATGAAACTGAACACATAGGTTACGTTTTACTAATCCGTGACATCTTGACCGGAGGTCAGTCGAGTTATTCTTGAAGAGGTGTGAAACTACGTGTATCTCAGACAGCTCATTTCTCCAAAGGGGAATGGACCATGTGAAATGGATGGAAGAATTAAAATGGCATGTAACATTTTTGCAAGATTGAAATGTTCTCATTGTCTTATTCTTATTGTTCTTATTGTTAGCTGTCTTTATGCCTGAAACAGAGATCATTTGATCAACGTGTGCTAGCACTGCTAACCTGTCGGTGCAAACCGCGGACTCTAAACCTGAAAGCCATTCACAAACTGCAGACAGCGAAACGCAGCGTGGAAAGATGTATGCTGGGATAGGAAAACGATACAAAGGATGGGGGTACAGAGGCGAGTCTGCGATGTAATTGCCTCGGCTAAGAAGTGCAAGAGGCAATGCACAGGAAATGTTGCAAGTGGAACCCAAGAATCAGAGAGGTTCCAAGAATATTACACGACCCGTATAAAGACCTTCAGGTCGATGGCGGGACGAGAAAAAGAAGGTCGGTCGCTCGATTCAAATGGATGCAAATGAGAGAACACAAGTTTCTAGCAAACGTTTGGACAAGCCTTCATCCAGCAGTGGATTAAAATCGTTTCAT